CCGTTAATGACGCAATTGGAATTGCGTTTCCTGTTGTTGCTTGTTTTATATCAGGACAAATTGGAATTCTCCAAGTGGTTAACTCGCTCTTAAATTACGTCGTCGAGGAATTGTTTGAAAGCCATTTGGAGCCGCTCTTGCCAACCTTTTTAGTTTGATAATTGTCGTCGTTTAGAAGCCAATGTAACGATACGCAAGAACTGTCTTGACCATTCTACAAATGAAATGTAAAGCAATAAAGAGCAAACTTGAAAAAATCCTTATACGAGTTCTGCACTCGTTGTTTTCTTCAAGAGGTATGGAACTTGATTATTACAAAAATTGTAGCTTACTTTTCTTGAGTTTTCTTTTATTCGTAAATTTATGTAATAGCGGAAGAAGATCTTAATTTATCATATTATTTAGCATTTGAGATCGAAGAGATTTAGCGAAACAAATCGGAAAGTCGTAAGAGACATTGCTGATATAATAATTGAAATACTCCGACGCGGAGCGTCATGTTTGAATTTAATGCACGACAACCTCGCGTCCCTTCATCGACAGACGCGCCTGAGAATTTCACGTTTAAATTAAATAAAGACACTTTTTCTCAAGTCCTATATTTTTGCGCGTCGCCGCGGTGCTCCAACCCGAATTTCGTTCACGTTGCGCACGGCAGTGCCTTTGTTCGGAAGAGTTTCGACTAGTTTTGCTCGTGGGTGCAGAGAGAAATGGTGTTGCGCGCTTAGAGATTTTATCTTGTTCACCCCCGATTTCCACGCGCGCAAGACGACGGCCGGGGCGATACGTGGCGCGGCGGTGCGGCGGTACACGCCTCGGTTTTGCCGGAGTATGCAAAGCGAGTTCTTCCGCTTTCTCCAACGAGGCCGTGATCGCGATCGTTAATAAAGCAAGAGATATATCTCTCTCTCTCTCTCTTAGAATGTTTTCCCTCAGGATGCTTTCCTCAGATAGCCGTAATAGAGCAAAATTTAATAATTCGCTCAGGCTATCTCATTTTTTTTAGATATACCTGGGAATTATTATCTATCTCGTATATACAGGGTGTCCCCGTATAAGTGGCCACCCCTTTTTATCTCGTAAATTAATAGAGATAGACCTAATAAATATAATATCAAATTAAACGGTTCTGATTAAACTTTATTGTAAGCAGAGTGATCACTTAGAAATATTATCTATGTTAAAGAGCGAAAAGACATGATTAATTTTTGCATGGTAAGGTGACAATTTTAATATGACAAAAGTTTTAGCATTCTTTTTAACGAATACAACGATGTATAATATAACGAAATTATTTTACGAATTATAAGAGTTATTTTGATTTAAAATTTTGCGGGCAGCTACTACCTTTTCAATTTCGGCCCTGCGATATGGCCAACTTCTGACTCTTACACTAACGAGAGTACTATGATTAGATAAAAACATTACACGTCAATTGTCAACGCAAAAATCAGAAGTTGGCCACATCGCAGGGCCGAAATTGAAAAGGTAGTAGCTGCCCGCAAAAT